TTGATATTCAAATGGAAATAGGACAAATGTAAACTTGCCCTGTTTGATGTCAAATGCACTAAGTTTGTTGGCTCACAACATTAAGGAATGAAGTCACAAACCAAAAGAAGTTCAAAAAGTTTTCTGGGAAAAAAGAGAGAAGAATAGCCCTGGATTTCAGGAGTACTCTTCAGTTTTTAAGGTACAGACCTATAGTCAGGGGTCACTTATGCAGCAAAGTCACAATGTTGGGACAGTGTGAGTCCCAAACTACAATCAACCTATAAGCTTGTAGTGAGTGGCTTAACTAATATTATATAACCTGGGAAGAAGTCACCCAGAAAAAGTATGTTGAAAGAGCAAAGGCATTTTGTGAGAACAATAGTCCAGTTGTTCTGGTCATTGAGTATGGTAATTGATGCCTATCTGGACTTCCTGGAGGAGGTAGGGTAGTAACTGTAGTACATTTCAAGCTATTGTTTTTCTCTTCAGGAGGCATGTAGACATGGTCACTGCATCTTCACCTTTATGTCTCTCTTTCTTCAGCTGAGCCTGTAGAGGGATTGTTGTGTTTAGTTTTTTATGTTGACTCCTTTGCGGTACCAATTCCTCTCTGACTGTATATCAATTTTTCTCTACTTTGATCTCCTGTAGTAAAATCACAATACCATTTGACTGGATAACGTGATGCTTATACATTTAATAAAATATTATTCAATAGAGGCCAGGGGTTTAGCTCAGCAGGAAGAAGCACCTGGCTGGGAAGGGCTAAGTTGTCAGTATGATCCCCGTACCTAAAAAAAGAAAACAGTGTTTTAAACCACAGAGAAAGAAAATAGCTTCATTTGTGAAGATGTAGATCAACAAGAGTTTTAATTAAATATGTCATTGGTAAATTAAACATTGGTAATAGCCGTATATACAATCTGAAGATGTTGGGAAGGGTTTTGAGCTTAATGGTCAAAGCAATGTTTGAAAGCCTTTGCATGAAGCTGTGTGCTTGTTCTGAGTTTAAGATTTCAATGAGTTTTTGGATCTCTTCATTCTAGCAAATTGCAGATTTATTGGAGGAAAGAGGTCACTGTTGTGCTATAGCACAATAGGTACCATTCCTAACTCTGTATTTGTCACAGCTGCCAGATTGCCACTACATGGCCAGCTTTCCACTGTAACATCATTCCATATTTGCCAATTTAGGTCAGCTTTCATTTACCTCTATTATTTTTGTTTTCCTTTAGTAGTCTTTCTCTCTCCCTTGGTTTTTTACTTTTTTCATTTTTATTTTTTTTTTAAAAACATGTAGTCGCACTTTGTAGTTCTGGCTGGCCTTTCATCACTGCGTAGGTTGGACTGTCCTTGAATACATGGCCATTCTCTCTCAGCCTCTTTAATGCTGTGGAAAAGAGGTGGGCATCATAACACATGGTGTTGGTCATTTTTTTCCCTCCTTTTCAGCATTATTCTTTCATTTCAGGGGCACTGACATTTAATCAACAGGTTTGCTTCTGTCAATAATCTTTCTGCTTCTTGAGGTGAGTTTCTGAACAACAGTATAGGAATCCAAGCATCCAGAGGACAGATTTGGAATTTAAATATTTGAGCTCCAAACCACTTTTATACAGACCTCTTTCCCCATTTCAGAATCTAAACAAATGGCTCTGAACTGGAAAGTTAGGCATTTTTAAAAGAGAGAATCACAAAAGACATCCCATTGGAAACAACTTAGTAGAATCTTAAATTAATTTTTGGTTGACACTTGTATTCTGCTTCTTTTTTTTTAGCAGGTTACTTTTTTACTTGCGTATAGCTCCTTTTGCTTTTCTCATGGAACTTATACCCTGAGTGATTTTTCATTTTCCTGGGTCAAATAAAGGGCACTAGATAAAGGCAGGGTGCAAGATGGTATCTGTTATGCCAATCTACAATACAGCTGAGCTACAATGCCAAGCCTAAATATTTTCTAGGGTCAAAAGCACATAATGTTTGAATATTTCACTGTTTATGATGTTCATCCTTATAGTAAAGTGTGATCTATAGTCAGGATAAGCGAAGCTCACCAGGACTCTCATTGCTTTCCACTGGTCTTTTTCTCATCATCCTTAAATAAAATACTCTCTGAATTCTTAATACTAATGCTCACATTTGATTCATATTCCTACCTGTGACATCTCCTTTTTCTGCAGTAGTCTATCCTGGCATCCCGGGCTCATAAGAGAAAGAAACACATCTTCTGATTCCCTACACTCCAATGATGTTGTGTTATATTGAACACTTTCCTTTAAGGGAATGGCAGTTAATGAATACATGTGTATCTCATGACTGTTTCTTCAGGTTTCAAATAACACCAGGAATTCTTTCAAGTTTTATGTGCACACCTGTAATCCCAGAACTGGGGGGCTGAAGTAGGATAATCAGTGTGAATTTACTGGACTAAAACGTGAGTCTACATTCAGCCTGAACTGCATGGGGAAATCATGTGTCAAAGAAACAGAAAAAATATCCTATTATTGTGGACATCCTTGGGAAGAAGAACTCAAAATTTGAAACTCTTAAGATCATACCTATGATGTTTCATCTGGTGAGTATAAGAGACCAGTAAAACTACCTTCAAGGATATGGAGAAAACTCAAAAAATCTTATTGCAAACTGTCATATAGATGTAATGCATTGCCCACCAAAATATCACTAGGATAGCTCACAAATGTAGAGGAAACATTTCTAAAATTCATCTGGAAACAGAAATGCTCTAGATCAAAGACATTGCTGGGCAACAAAGGCAAGTCAGAAAGCATCACAATTCCTGACTTGCTATTATACTAGAAAGCTACTATTAGAAAATCAGCATAGATCTGGCAGAAAAACAGACATGAGAATCAATCAAAAAGACTAGAAGATGCAAATAGAACTACAAACACGCTCTGCTACTTTGTGTTTGACAAAGGAGCCAAACATGTTCACTGGAAGAGAGATAGCCTCTTCAATAAATGGTGCTGAAGAAAATGACTTTTCTCATACTGAAGACTTAAACTGGAGACATGTCTATCACTATGAAACAAACAAAAGTCAAACTAGATTAAAGATCTAAATATTAAAACAGAAACACTAATGAGGCTTCATAAACAAAATACAAATTTTAAAGAATTAACCAGTGGGACCCCATCTTATTAAAATTTTTTTCTACATCAAAAGAAATCACTAACAGAGTGAAAAGACAATGCACAGAATGGGCAAGGAATATCTTTCTATTTATGATAATCTTCAATATCCTTTTACAAAGTACTATAATTTTCAATATGTAAGTCCTTTACTTACTTCATTAGATTCTTTCCAAGTACTTTGTTTTCTGGGAGGTATTGTAAAGGCTGTGGTTTCTGTAACTTCTCTCTTGGTGAGTTTGTTGATTGTGTACAGGAATCCTATTGAATTTTGGTTGTCAACTATGTCTCCTGCTACATTATTGAATTTGGTTATTAATTCTAGGACTGTTTTGGTGGAGTCTTTGGTATCTTGTATTTAGAATATCATATCATCTGTGAATAATGATAGTTTAATTACTTTCTATTATATATTTATTCTTATTTCTCTCTTTTGTCTAATTGGTCTGCCTAATGTTTCCAGAGCTATATTGAATGGGAGTGGTCATAGTAGTGATCTGTGTCCTTTTGATAACTGTAAAATGAAAGTTTTCAGTTATTCTCTATTTAGTATGATGCTGGAATTTTCTTCATCATTGTCTGATTGTTTTGTCTTTTTCTTTTTTATCAGTACTGGTGATCAGACTCACGACCACACAAATGCAAGGCAGATGCTTATGCCACTGGGCTAAATCCCCAACCCTGTCATTGTTTGATTTTATCAGCTTGAGGTAAAGGTCATCTGTCGATATTTACTGTAGGGTTTTTTTTATCACAAATCAGTGCTTGATTTTATAAAAAGCTTCTTGTGCATTTATTGAGATGATTACCATGTGCCTTTTGTTTTTGACTGTGTTGATATGACATTTAAATTTGTTGATTTGCATGTACTGAAACATCCCTGACTTCCTAGGATGAATCCAAGTTGATCAGGTTTTAAAATCTTCTTGGTGATTTGCTACATTCACTTTGCCAGTATATTGTTAAGGATTTTTGCTTCTTGTTCATTAGGAAAACTGTCCTATAGTTTACTTTTTCTGGTTGGGTCTTTCTCTGGTGTTAGTATCATGGTAATACTTGCCTCCAGGAATGAGTTAGGGAGAACAGCTTCTCTTTCAATGTCATTAAACAGCAGTGGCCTTAAATTTTTTTCTACATTTATTGTAGAATTCAGCAGTAAATCCATCAGGAGCTAGACTTTTTTATGTTGGTCATTTGCTCTTCTGTTGTCGTTGTTTATCTTTTGTTTAATGTGCACATGAGACAGGTTTTCATTATTCAGTTCAGGTTGGCCTTTAACTCACTTTGTAGTGTTGTTATTCTCGAACTCACAACAATCCTTGTACCTCAGCCTAACAAGTACTGGGATTACAGGAATGCACCACCATGCCCAGCAGCTGATACATTTTTAATTAGATCTTCATTCTCATTTACTGATACTGTATTTTCTAGATTTTTTATAGCTTCTTGGATCAGATTTGGCATTTTATATGTTTCTAGGAATCAGTGCATTTCTACATTTTCTAACTTATGAAAGTATAAGCTTTTCAAGTAGATATTGATGATCTTCTGAATTTTCACAGGATCTGTAATTATTTTATTCTTCTGATTCCTTAGTGCATGGTTTTCAGTCTTTATTTTTTTCTTTTATGGTATGGTTGTCCAAGGTTTTATCAATTTTGTTTATTCTTTCAGTGAACCACCTCTTTGATTCATTAATTATTTGTATTGTTTTCTTGTTCTGCATTGCATGAATTTCTTGTCTGGTCTTATAATTTCCTCCTTTGTATGGTGATCCGGCCTGCAGATCAACAAGTTCGGAACTCCTGGAGGAGAAACAGGGATTAAATAAAAGACATGGGGGAGACAAAAAGAGACGAAGGCAAGTTGATGTTAACCCAATCAAGCCTCCGGTTTATTGAGAAAATAATCACACCTTTTATAGGCTAAGGGCGGGAGCTGGGACAGGAAGAGGTTAAACAGATGAATACAACAGGGTTACCATCACATCCGGATAAGTGACGTAAGCAGAAGAGGATTATGGTTAATGTAGGCAGACGCAGTGCCCATAGGAGAGAGAGAGAGAGACATCTAGGCAGCAATGCCTGTCACTCGGCTCCCTACATCTCCTCCCTTTTTATATTATTTAATTAAGAGTATGGCAGGCCCTGTGAGGACAGCGTCTGTCTTAGGTCAAGGACCTCATTGCATGAACCCAACCAGGCCTTACCCGTCATGGGCTTGCAGAACAGCAGTTGGTCCTGTGCCTGTCTTAGGTGGCCGTTGGAATTAACATGCATGTCCTAGTTGCCCGTCTCTGACTGCCTGTCCATTGCCCCAGGGCAGTCAGGCCGCATCATCATATGGGCCACTCGTGGGAATTCCTTCCCTGTAGGTTTGTTGATCTGTCATCTCCAGCTGATGGTAGTGTACCTGAATGGGCTTTGCCATAAATGCGTCTATCCGGTTATTAATGAACATCATAATCCTCTGAAAAATACAAGACTCACAGAAATGAGAAACAATAAGTCAGCTAGGGGACCCAAAAGTGGGACTAGGTAAGGGAAAAACTCCCCCCCCCAAAATCAAGGAGAAGGGGTTGACAGTCATTTGTTGGTGTCTCTGTATGAAGTCATTCTCCTGTGTCTTGGAGCATGCCTTGTATAACACTGGATGCAGTCTATTTGGCTGGTGTATGTTCCTCCAGACCGAGAAGAGCCTCTTCCACAGTCATGGGGTTCTGTGCATGGCTGTCAGCAGTTGCAGTCTGTTTGGCAGGGGTCAAAATCCACCATGGGTGTGGTGTGGCTCAAGAAGGCTGGTTAAGCAGCATAAGGCTCCAGGGAGATGTGTCACCTGTAAGAGAACACAGGGGATTGTGCCTCAGGAAATAACATTATTCCTGGGCGTTACATGGGGTCTTTGAAGAACTGTCTACTTGCTTTACGAGGCGTTCAGGTAGCCATCTAGCTTCTCTATCTTGTTGAGAGTAAACACACACTGAACCTCGTCCCCAGATAAGGACTGGATCAGGGCCATTCCACACATTGGTTAGTGGGTCTCTCCATAAAACAGATGCAAACCGTGTTTGAGTCTGAGTATGCCAAAACCGAGATGCTGCGGAGCAGCCTGAAGCATCCAGGGTCAGAAAATTTAAAATAAAAAGAGCATGTGAAAGGACATTTCTAGGGGACCCCTGGGTGGGGTACCATGTCTCCCTTTTTATTTTATCTATGGTGAATTTAAGAGAACGATGCGCACGTTCAACAATGCCTTGTCCCTGAGGATTATAAGGTATACCTGTAGTGTGGAGGATATTAAGGCTTTTACAAAATTGAGCAAAGGAGGTGCTGGTATAGCCAGGGCCATTATCGGTCTTAAGCTGTTGAGGACATCCCAGAACTGAGAAGGCTGACAGCATATGGGCTATAATGTGTTTAGCAGCTTCTCCAGTCAGGAGAGTGGCAAAAATGAAGCCACTATAAGTGTCAATGATGACATGTACATATTTTAGATTGCCAAACTCATTGAAATGGGTAACATCCATTTGCCATAAGGCATTAGGAATTAAACCTCTAGGGTTGACTCCTAGGTGTTGAACAGGTGAGTGGATAGCACAAGATGGGCAATTTTTTACAATTTGTCTGGCTTGCTCACGGGTAATTTTGTAGAGAAGGCGGAGGGTGTGAGCATTGAGGTGATGTAGCTGGTGGGCTTGTTGGGCCTCAGACACCTTGGAGTCCTGAGCCATAAAAACCTGTGCTCGTACAGCAACATCAGCCAAATGATTTCCTTGGGCAAGAGGCCCTGGGAGGTTGGAATGAGCTCGCAGATGACCGATAAAGAACTTATGACGGCGAAGCCGTATGAAGCATTGTAATTGTTTGAACAGATTTGCAGCTGGGGAAGCATGACATATAATAGCAACAGTCTCTAATAATGGAACAGACTGAGCAAGGTAAGCACTGTCAGTATACAAATTAAATGGTTGGTCAGAGTAAGCAGCAAAAGCTGCAAGAATAGCTTCTAACTCTGCTAATTGTGCAGAGGAAGTATCTGCCTGGAGGGTAGAAACATTGTCTTGAGATACATAAGCAGCTCTTCCAGAGGATGAGCCATCAGTGAATAAAACCAGGGCACCCGGAAGGGGTTGTGAAGCTGTGACTTTAGGGAATATAAATGAGTGACGATTAGCAAAGTCAACTAGCTTATTTGGAGGGTAATGATTGTCAATAGTCCCTGAATAGGAAGCTAAGGCAATAGGCCACACTTCAGTACTCTGAAGTAGCCAATCTATTTGGTCTTTTGTAAAAGGTTGAATGATAATGTCTGGTTCTTTGCCAAAGTAACATTTTCCCTGCTTTCTACCTTGGGTTATTAGGTCTGAGACAGCTTGGAAATAAGGCAAAAGTGTTCTTTTTGGAGAGACTGGTAAATGGACCCACATGAGGGGAGCTTGTTGCCAGAACACTGCTGTAGGGCAAAGCTTTGTATTAAAAATGAGAAACTGTAAAGGCTCATTGTAGTCCATAAAGGAAACAGTTTGTTGAGCAATAGCCTCTTCTACTTTACTGAGCGCTCTCCTGGCATCAGGTGTAAGCTCTCGGGGGGAAGTTGGATCTATGTCTCCCCGAAGCAGTGCATAAAGGGGCTGTAAATCATGTTTAGTTAGTTTTAAAAATGGTATGAGCCAATTAATGTCTCCCAATAGTTTTTGGAAGTCATGAAGTGTAAAGGAATAGAGAAAAAGCAATCTTTAAGATCTATGACAATTTTAAAAAATCCTAAAGGAATGGCACTGGGTAAGGGGAGGCCTGGCTGTAGGGGCCCCATTAAGACCATTGTCTTATTTATCACCCTAAGGTCTTGTAGCAGCCTCCACTTTCCTGACCTTTTCCGGATAACAAAGATAGGTGTGTTCCAAGGGGAATTACTAGGAACAATGTGGCCTGCATCTAACTGGTCCTGCACCAGCTGCCTTGCGGCTGCAAGCTTTTCAGAGTTAAGGTTGTTTTTAAAGGCTTATATGAATCCCCAATTGGCCATGGAGGCACAGGGAGTAGTGGGCTGCCATCCTGGGACCTGTTGATCATGTCAACAGGTGGAAGTGGTGGCAGATCACCATGTATGAGGACCTCTAACAGGCCATCATTCTCTGCATCTGAGAAATCAGAGGCTTCAGATTTTTCTGAGGATGGTTTTTAGGTAGATTTAACGGAGTCGCGCAAGGCAGCCTCACCTAGTGCAACTGTCTCCTCAACCTGAGGGTCTGCATGCCTCTGGGCAAGCAGCTCAGAAATTAAATTCCAATATGTAAAGGTGGTCACAGGAACCTTTTCTGGACCGAAAACTCTATAATAATCTTTTAAAACATCTCTTACTGTATTCCACCTCTTGGTATCTATAGAACCCTCTAGGGCAAACCTTATGAATAAATTGAAAATACTGTAATAATTCTTGTTTTTCAACCCTTATCTCTCTTGTCTTTAATGCCTTTATAAGGCCTCCGACGAACAGTTCATGTTCGCTCAATACTTGACCCATGTCGGGAAAGGGAAATGGGGTTGCTGTTCACTCACCGTGACTCGGGCAGGACGTCGGGTAGTCGTCTGCGCAGGTCTCGGCACTTGATTTAATGTCCTGTTGCTTTAAACTTTAATCCTTGATTCAGTTTACTCATTCCTCGGCCGAGGTCTCTGGTTCAATTTGCTTTCACTTTCGGTTTAAGCCGGCTGTCTCTCGAACGGCTCCCTCGTTAACTTCTCCGTGCCAGGGGCTCCCACGCTGAGCGCCACTTGATCCGGCCTGCAGATCAACAAGTTCGGAACTCCTGGAAGAGAAACGGGGATTAAATAAAAGACATGGGGGAGACAAAAAGAGACGAAGGCAAGTTGATGTTAACCCAATCAAGCCTTCGGTTTATTGAGAAAATAATCACACCTTTTATAGGCTAAGGGCGGGAGCTGGGACAGGAAGAGGTTAAACAGATGAATACAACAGGGTTACCATCACATCCGGATAAGTGACGTAAGCAGAAGAGGATTATGGTTAATGTAGGCAGACGCAGTGCCCATAGGAGAGAGAGAGAGAGACATCTAGGCAGCAATGCCTGTCACTCGGCTCCCTACAGTATGGGATTTGTTTGTCTTGCCATTCTTCTTTTGGAAGAATGAGATGCAACATTGCATTATTTGTTTGTGTTCTTTCTATTCCCTGATGTGAGATTTGACTACTATAAATTTCCCTGTTTGGATGTCTTTCATTGAATCCCATAGGATACAGGATTTTGCATCTATGTTCTTGTTAGGATGTAGGTATATTTAAGTTTCTTCCTTTATTTAATCTGTTACCCATTGGTTGTCTAGAAGAGTGTTATTTAATTTCCATATAGTTACACAGTTTTGGCAACTTCTTTTACCATTATTTCCCAATTTGAATACATGCTTAAGAATACTAGCCTTAGGCTACAAAGCCAGTCAAGAAATAGAAGGATTAAGTTTTTTTATACCTCCATTGCTATCAACTCAGCATGTGCTCTAAAGCAGTCAGACTGTTGTTGGTGGGAGGAGGTGACTGTGTTGCTCATCTCCCAGCCAATGCAATGGCTAGCTCACAGGAAGTGTAAGTTACTTTCTTGTTTTTCTTCAGAGAACCAGAATAGCTTCCAACCATAGAATCACAACATGGGCACATTGGCTAGTTTCCCCTAGCATTCCCCATATGACATCCACCAGCTCACAGCAAGGGCATATTAGCTTTCTATTTCTCCTCTCAGGCCTGGGATGGCTCTGGATAGAGAATTTTTTCTTCAGGATGTCTTAGTGGAGACATATCATAAAACCTGCATATCTGTGTTTGTGTCCTACAGAAATTAATTCATATGTAGCTCATTGATTGGAGTGGAAATAATTGTCTTGAGGAAAGTTGTGTCATGTAAGAGGATTTGGTATTGGTGAACCAGAAAAATACATGGGAATATAACATCTTTGCATATGTGAATTGTCTTAAACAGGTTTGATACTTGTTCCTGTCATCATCCAACAATACCAGATTTCAGTGCTAAGTCTTTAAAACAGATACATTTTATGTTTCATGTTGGGGTCTTTTCCTAGAAACCAAGATGCCAAAAAGGTGTATCAAAAAGGCTCTAAGAAATGAGAAACACAGCATGGTCTTCAGGGCTGCAGGAGGAGAGAGATCCTTGGCAGAGCTCATCACTCTGCTAGCCAGCTGGCCAAGCTCATTCAGGCAGGAGTTGAGTGGACAATGGAGGAAACCTGAACAGGATCTTGGGAGAGGTTCAAGACCCACTCCAAGCAACACACGATGGTAACTGCAGAGAACTATCACACAGAAAGTGTCTAGGTGGCCTCAGCTGGGGCCTATCTTGCCACTTGAAGCATCTCTTCTCAGTTCAATCATGCCTGTGCCACATCACAGCCCTGCATGAGTATTCAGGTTCAATGGCTCCAATATATTCCTCCTTTTTGTTTGGTTGATACACAGATGGGTGACCAGCTGAAGATGTAGAAGTTGTGTTAGAGCTCCCACCACTGCACAGTCCATCCATCCATAATGGTAGTCAGTTACCAGCATAGATAGCAATTGTCAGATGATGTTAGTGATATGAGATTCAACCACAGACAACATTTTATAATTGCACAGTACCTCCCAAATCCAGACTTTTCTGCAGAAGGTTCAAGATCAAGCTAACATAAGGATTACACTAAGGACAATTGGTTGGTTACTTCCTATCAAGCCCAGTTCTTATAACCATGCATAGCACCTCATATCTCTTCTGTCAGTGTCTGCCACCTGGAAGAGTCATGGCCATTGCTTGACCATGTTGATTTTTTTGAAACCTTAGGAGATTTTTCTGGTGACTTGTGACTCTCCTTAGGCACACCCTGCATCAAAGGTCACTTTCCTCTGTGGTCTCATCATCTTCCTGATCAGAATACTAGGTACTCACTGGTTATCTTCTGATGATGAAAGCACAATTTCTTTTACATCCTGAGTCTCCTCCAAGCTTGAAGTGTTGTGGACAAAATATTGGCTATCCATTTAGCCCATCTGTGTCTCTCATTTTTGGTCCTAAACCTTAGCTTTTGGACATCCAGAAGAAAAGAATGATCACAATACAATACATTAGAGGCAGTAAGCGTAACATTACTATTTTATCTAAACATGAAACACCTTAAAACATTAAGTGAAATGTACTTTCTACTCTCCATGGATATTTTTAACATTTGAATACCTACCATGTTAACAGTGACATATTTTACATGGTAAATCAGAAATCAGAACTGTACATATTATTGTATTATGACATCTTGCAATAGTCTGAATTTCTGTTTTGACATAAAATATCCATTTTAGTCAAGCACGCTTATCAAATACCCAAAAAGTCTCTTATGTGTTATTGACCAATTTATTGACCATTAGTGGAATGTGAATCTCACAAGTCTTTGGTATTAGGAGAGGTATGAACATGGAAAAAAATCTGCTACCATAAGCAATCCCAATTTTACAATCTTGGAGTACTATGCCTCCAGAAATATAAATATATCAAATACATCATCAATTTGACAACAATAAACTGTCATAACCATGTGAAACCTTTACACAGGCATCTTCAATCCAAAAAATGTATTAATTCTTTTGATAGTGACCAATGTGAACATTTTGGAGTATACTTCATAACTTTAGTTAAGGTGTTTCCTATAAGACTATGGAGATCATTGAGGTCTTTGATCAATAAACAAGCACTGGTTAAAAATGTTACCCGGCAACTAGTTTATGATTTATCAATCAGAGAGCCTTGTCCAGCAATCTCAGTTCTAAGGGACTTTGTTTATTCATTCTAATAATATCATTTCTAAATAATGATACTATCAAGTCAAGGATAAATAACAACACATTCCATTAATATACCCTTTGTGACATTCGGAACAGCTGGCAACCAAGATAAAAGCATACTTTACAAATTCACTGCCAAAAGAAATCTTTGATTATGTGATCCAGGTATGGAAAAAGAGAAAGATTACTGAGCTCAAAATGAAAGGAACAGTTGTTCAGAGTGGACAAGTGGATAAAGGTAGACAGACAATCTCTGCGGATTCAAACAAACACAGAAATAAGCACAGAGCTTGTGGGTGTCCATGAGAACACTTTAAGTTCTTCAGAGGCCATTTATGTACTTGTACCATACCCTTTTGTAAAACTAGCTCATATCTTACACCCCATGCTCCCAGTGATGCAAAACCTGTACACCTCCAGCACTCAGGGTGTTCCCAGATGTTCTGGGAAACTTGAGTGCTCCTGTATGGGCATAATTGATTTCTGCTTTACAGGTTTGAACAACCACTAGCTCAGCAACTCCCAGAAACTGCTTACAAACTGACTGAACAAACAGACAACTGATATATGGATAGACTGACAAACATCTTATAATATCAGAGTGAACTTGAGCATATCCTGAAGCCAAATTACAATACCTTCTTACAAAGTTAGAGTCTACAACTTGAATTCAACTGACTGATGTATTAATGACCAATTTCTTGACCAGTCAATTGAATTTTTTATAGTCCAACTAGTTGAGATCCTGTATAAAAGGAATTGAGGCTTGAATCAAGGAGAGCTGAAATGGTGGAATTATGACGTGGAGCCTGTGGTGCCAATGCATTCATGCAGGGCAAACACAATAGGCAGAAATCCACAAAACACCTTGGCAAAAACACAGAAACTTCCCCTCTTCCCCAGATCAGCAGGGGCAAGAGCCTCTGTCCACAAGGGTCTGGGGGTGTTTTGTATAATACAAAAGGCATTGTCAGAGGTATATTCTGGTAAAAACATATTTGAACTAGGGAAGATGAACACTTTTTTGGGAAAGAGAAGTTACTTAAAGTAAATAGCACCATCGACAGAATAGTAAGAACCTGAGCAGGAAGTGCATTATTCTTCTTTAGTTGTTTCAAGAGAAGAGATTTGAGGGTATAATGAGCTTGTTCAATGATTTCTTGGCCAGTGACATTATATGGGATACAAGTTACATGAGAAATGTTCCATGTGGAACAAAAGGAAGAAAAAGCCTGTGAGGTACAGGCTGGACCATTGTGAGTTTTAAGGAAGGAAGATATACCCATGAGTGCAAATGCAGCCAAAAGATGTTGAATTACATGTCAGGCAGATTCAGTATGCAGTGGTGAAGCACAAATAAAACTAGAAAATATATAAACAGAAACATGAAGAAATGAACAAGAAATCAAGGAACAGTGTGTGGCATGTTTATCAAGGTTCATTGGAACAGAGGCCATGAGAGTTGACAGCATCACAGGGAAAAGGGTGAGGCATGGCAGTGCAATGGAAATCAGTGTAAATGAAAGCTCTAGCTGCAGAAGTTGGAATGTGAAACAATTTGTGCAAGGAACACGCTGATTGTTGAAAGAAGGCAAGGCTTTCTTTACTGTTATCAAATGAAGGTAGACTACAAATTAATCTCAAGAGCAGCCTGAACTGCATATAGAAACACTGTGTTGAAAAGACCCTGCCCCCAAAAAAAGAGGGAACAGAATATTCAGTGCTTGATCAGTAATTATCATATCAAACAACAGGTTGGGCTTAATGACTACCTGTATGTAAAAGAAAAATAGGAGTATGGTGAAGTCAAATAGGACCGTGTAGATGCAAAAAAGGGACATTAAGTGTGAGCCTATTGCTAAAGGAGAGATAACAAGAAAAGACAAGTGTGGGATAACGCTATGTACAGATAAAGAGGCAGTGACTAAGTTAAGGACTTGGGATGAAAAAAATTTGCAAAGCAAGGATAAGAGAGATCACTGCATTGACAAGAGGTTTGTGTTGGTGAATACAGGTTTTTCCAAGTATTATAAAAACATATGTTACAGCTTCATGAAGGGGGTTCCATCAG